GCCACCTTAGGTGTATGTGGCTGGCGCCTTAGGCACTTGAGCCACAGGCGCCGAGCCAATAGTTAACATTCTGATGTGAGTACTCTGAGGTGTGAACATTCTGATGTGAGTACTCTGAGGTGTGAATGTAGAATATTCCCAGCTAAAACTGAAACTCTGAATTCCTAGAAAGGCTGCCAGTTCACTCTGCAACAGGGGCTGCCTGTGAAGCCCTCTGCTGTCTGCTTCAGTCTCTCCTATTGCCCAAGAATAACCAACATCCTATTTAATATTAACATTGATAATATGCTTTGGAATTCACATATATAGGAATAAACAAAATGTATCATTTGGTGTCTGGGTTATATAAATCCACCTTAGGATCTGGGATTAATCCAAGTTTAATGAAGCAGTTGTTCATTTTCAGTGCAAGGATCAAATATTACACTTTTGGATCGAAATTTAAGACTATTATGAATTAGGATGATACAGGAGTATTTTTAACCAGAACATGTATTGAATGACTAATTGTCAAAATTCCCAAGGTAAACTGAACACTGCAACAGCCACCTTCTTGAGTGTAGGTTTTTTTTTTTTTAAAAAAAACAGTTTTTATTTTATTTTTTACAGTTTTTGGCTGGGGCTGGTTTCGAACTCACCACCTCTGGCACATGGAACCGGCACCACACCCCTTTGAGCCACAGGTGCCGTCCTTGAGTGTAGGTTTGTTTATTTATTTATTTATGACAGACTCTCTGTCACCCTGGGAAGAGTGTGATGGCATCATTATAGCCCACAGCAACCTCAAATTTTAGGCTTAAAGGATCCTCCTGCCTCAGCCTCCCAAGTAGCTGGGACTGCAGGCACCTGTAACATTGCCCTGTTAGTTTTTATATTTTTAGTAGAGACAGGGGTTTCATTCTTGCTTAAGCTGGTTTTGAACTCCTGAGCTCAAGGGATCCTTCCTCTTTGGCAGGAATCTCAGAGTTCTGAGATTATAGACTTGAGCCACTGGGCCTGGCATACAGTTATTTTCTTTGTTGTTGTTTTTTAAATTGAGATAGAGTCTCACTGTGTCACCCTGGGTAGAGTGATGTGGCATCACAGCTCACAGCAACCTCAAACTCTTGGACTTAAACAATTCTCTTGCCTCAGCCTCTCAAGTGGCTGAGACTACAGGCACCTGTCACAATGCCTGGCTATTTTTTGGCTGTAGTTGTCATTGTTGTTTGGCAGGCCCAGACTGGATTCAAACCTGCCAGCTCCCGTGTATGTGGCTGGCACCCTAGCCACTGAGAGCTACAAGCACCAAGCCTTTTTTTATTTTATTTTATTTTATTGAGACAGAGTCTCACTAAACTTGGGCTTAAGTGATTATCTTGTCTCAACCTCCCAAGTAGCTGGGACTACAGGCACCCATCACACTGCTGGGCTATTTTTTGTTGCAGTTGTCATTGTTTGGCAGACTCAGGCTGGATTCAAACTTGCCAGCTCTGCTGAGCTACAGGTGCC